TATAGCTGTCTGTACAACCTTTTTTTACAATGCTGTATACAGTACCTATTCAGTATTGACAAGAGTAATGTTGGACTTACGAACAAATGGACTTACGAACAGACATCAGGAACCTAACCAGTTCGTAAGTATGGGAGCCCCTGTACTGTATTATTATTCATTCACATGGTAATAATGAAAAGCCTCAATGTGTAAAATTCTCGAGTCAAAATTACTAAATGGGAGTAAGAAGCGTGGTTTCTGGATACAAGAGGAAGAAGGAAAATTTGAAGTGCAAGATGTGATGTGCAGTATGTGGAATGAAAAGGGTGTAGGGAATATAAAATACAGAAGTCACGCAAGATGAGAAAAAGAAAGAATTATCAGAGAAAGCTGACCAGGGTTTACTAAGGTAGTGCAGGTATTGACAAACTGAGAAAATGGGAAATGAAAGATTGGTGTGAGAAAGAGAAGGCCAAGGAGGAGATGGAAAGTTAGGGTAAAAAAATACAGGTTTGAACCCATCTATTCTGGCTCCCTCAGAACCTGAGCAGTGCCGGACCTTAAAATTTATGAACCACAAAGGGTTTGCTAAAGTTTGGTGTAAAGTCATTTACTGTACCGATAAATGAAACAGAAAATACAGTACAGTACAGGTTAATAAAAAGTCAAACCGGTACAGTACAGTATATAGTACTGAAGATTTATATCTAGCAATAAAAAATATTATCATGCAGTCTTCCCCCAAAATGTAATATTAATGGACAAAATAAAGCAAATAAGACTAATAATCTGCCAATTATAGAGGCGAGTTGCCACATGGCCACTGTTTTTGTGCAGTAGCTAATTGACGCACACTATGCTCCATGGGGAATATAACTTGGCCATATATTCTGTATATTCATATTTAAATACCTGTATCTTAACGTCTAGTGTCGACATGCCATAAATCGGGAAAATTATAACAGAGTTCAATAGGATATGTTCCCAGCTCCCAGCCAGTCAGACATCCACGTGTATCACCAAAAATAAAATTCCTACAGTAATAAAATAAATAAAGCACAATTAAACAACACTCATCACATCATTAAGAGCCAACCTGGTCGTCATCATATGTCTCCTTCGAGGCTAAGGGGACTCTTGAGACGTCACTTTGACTCCCACACAGCTTCGCTATGTTAAGCTTCACCTCCAGAGACGCCGTTTTCCCAGGTGCCTTGGTCTTCCCCAGACTTCAGAGTAAACAATGATAATTTACAAATAATGATACTGACCGACACTACTCGCATCAAGTTCATAACAACAGAGGTAAAGCACATTAGTCACAAAAATCACCTTATGGTCACCAAAACACAGTTCAATGTGTATGTTAGTGATGTCCTATAAAATAAAAAAACACTAATACTGACCGATAATCATTGAGCTACACGATCATGGACATGTGAGATCACCATGGAACAAAACACGGGACTGTAGTGCACCGGGTGACCACATGGCGGCGCGCGGGTAAACCACAGCTGACAAGGACACCGAGAAATGCGTTCTATATTCCACGTTGGCTGGACGATGACCATCGTTCATGCAAATATTTTTTATCATAAATAGGGAAGTGGTCTTAATACATCACCATCATTCAAGTGAAATATCGTAGATAAGGAGATTATAAATTGGGGAATACATGAACACTATAATGTACAGTAGGATCTCAAGTTTAGCGAGTTCTAGATTTACAATTCATATGTTTTGCGTCACCTTTAAAATTTCCCGCCTCTCAAGAATAGCGAGTTTCATTACCAGTTTTGCGAGTCAATGGCGAGTGGGCAGCGCGCATTGCCACGGTCTTTTGTTATCCGCTTAGTGTTTGTTGTTTACAGCAGTTAGTTTGAGTGAGCGATGCAGTGACCTTGTGTTATATAACCCACTGTGCTTACATTTTGCCAAATTCTTGTTTAACTATTAACGATTCTAGTGTATTAACGATGAGTGAGGTGCGTAATGTAAATGTCGGGAGTGGTTCTGGTGGTGCTGATGTCCCTAGAGAAGGTCAACAAGGAAAGCCCCAAGCCAAACGTGACTACCGTAAGGGGGTCAAGAAGAGAGGAAATACACCCTTGAAATGAAACGAGAGATGCTTGAAATGATCAAAAGTGGTGCTAGTACCTGTGAAATCATGCGTAGGTTCAACTGCCCCGAATCAACCATACGTTCCCTTAAGAAGAACAAGGAAGCCTTAACTGCCTCTATGAATATTCTCAAGATTTTCTAGTAACAGGACGTTCTCCGATACTTCACAACGAAACCTACTGCTTGTTATCACAGAACATTACCTTTACAAGTGGGTGGAAAGAAGAACCGTGAGCAGGTCGACCTGTCTTAGATAAGGCGTCAAGCACATGTTTATTACGCTGCAGTTGCACAGAAGAAACGCTTTAACTCTCCACCACCGTTCAATACTTCTGTTGGTTGGTTGGCTGCCTTTAAGAAGCGTTATGAAGTCAAGTTTGCCCACTACCATGGGGAGAGTGCATCATGATGTCATAGCATCAGAAAAATATCCACCAATCTTTCAGGGAATGGGACAACTGGCCGCCGCCATCTGGCCGCAGCCCAACTGGCCGCGGGAAACTCGCCGCGGCCGACTGGCCGCCGCGGACTGGGGGTAAACTGCAAACGCCTATTTAGGTTAGGTTAGGTTAGGTTAGGTTAGGTTAGGTTGTCAACAAAAAGTTCCATATGGCGGCCAGTCGGCCGCGGCGAGTTTCCCGCGGCCAGTTGGGCTGCGGCCAGATGGCGGCGGCCAGTTGTCCTAGACCCAATCTTTCAAGCTCTTGAGAAAGAGGGTGGTTATTGCCGAGACTAGATCCCCAATTGTGACGAAACTGCCATTTTCTGGAAGCACTCACCTAAGACCACTTTCATTGCCAAGGATGAAAAACAGGCAAGGGGTGTAAAGACTCCAATGGACAGGATTACAGTTTTATTCACAGCTAATACAGGTGGAGATTTCTTGGTGAAACCCCTGGTTGTTAACCGTGCTGCCCGTCCTAGAGCCTACTGTCATGCCAATATGTCAATGTTTATTGGACGTCTAATAAGAAAGCTTGGGTGACAACATCTTTGTTCCTGATGCCCAACAGCACTGCCGGAGGGAGAACTTTGACTTCAAAGTGATCCTGGTGATGGATAATGCTCCTGGACACTCTTAAGTTTCTAATTGGACACAACCCTAATGTGCAAGTTATCTTCCTTCCTCCTAACACCACATCGCTCTGCAGCCACTTGACCATGAATTCATCAGTAATGTTAAACTGTTCTGCTATCAGTCACTCTATAAAGACTTCCGTCAGCAGACAGACGCATTACTCGAGTTATAACAAATCGAGGCAGAACTTTCTGACAGTGACCAGGCTCTACCAGCTAACCAGGAGGAAGAGCAGGAGATCGTAGATGACTCGACCTCCTAGCACCTCACCACCCCACAACCATGAGGTGTTATCAGTTTGTGAATTTTGGAAGAAATATAATATTAAAAATGCAGTGGACAGAATTGTTGAGGCATGGCATAAGATTAATGTTGCAACAGTGCTACACGCATGGAAGCCTTTGTTCGCTAACTCCGAGGTAAGTGAGTGGAGCAGAGCAGACCGAGGCAAGCGGGGAGAGGCAGTTTGTGGTGGCAACGCTAATGAACACAGTGGAGACGGCGCGGCAGTCCCAGCACCGAGATTTTCGGATGTTCAGGTAGAAGATTTGCAAGAAATCGTTGGTCAACATCAGCAGCAACTGAAGAAATGTTGGAGGAGGATGAAGAACAATCAGAACCACAAGCAACACAAGGGGATGACGTTAAGCCTGGTGAACCTACAACATGCCAGCTGACTGAGTTGCTCACAACCATCGCAAGCCTCAGTGAATAGCTAGAAGAATACGATACCAGGCCTCATGCTCAGAACCATAACTGCCTTGTCATTGATAAAGTTCTAGAGGAGTACACGGCCATATACATGTCCCATGTGAATGCTGGTCAGCAGGCCCTTATTACTGGGTACCTGCACAAGGCCCAGCCTGTTATTAAGGCCTTGGCAAACATCACTTTAGGAGATGATGATGGCACCACCGATGATGATATTGAAGTGTTGGGTGACTTACTGGTGGAAGAGCCGAGGGATTTGATGCTGACGTTAGAGGAGGTGTCAATGAGGGAGGAAGCAGTAACCAGCCCTCCTTGCCTCGGAACCCATCAAGCATTTCACTGACTCCATCAAGGTACCGGGTAAGTTATTCTACAGTAGGAGTGTTTATAAATATTGTTATCACCAATATGTACAATATAATATATATGAATACATTACAGTAATGTCATTTTTTTGGTGGGTTGTAGGTCATTATAGGGGGGTTTGGGTGACACCGCAGAACTGATTAGGCTTATTTGCATGTATTTCAATGTCACTAGTTTCACGATTTTAAATTTTGTGATGCTAAAACCAGTATCAATTAATCGGGAACTCTAGATCCTACTGTATACCTTGTATGCATTTGGGGGGATAATGAGTGTGTGTAATCCTTGTGTAAGTCAAGTGCAGTTTAGCATTACCATCACATCCACCACTTTACTGATATTTTTAAAACCATATTAATGGCTACATAAAAGCTAAATAAAAGCACAAAACAGAACAGTGAGAGTCCAAACTGGCAGATGTAAACAATGCCAAGACAGCCAATCACAAATAAAGCTGGACCACAGAAGTTATCGAGCCAGACGGTGTCAGGTCAGAGGGGTATAATCTGTATTACAACAGAAGGCATGAAAATTCAGGAATTACAGAATGCATGAATGATATGAGAGGTTGTCACATCAGTAAGAGTGAGCAGATGAAGGTGAGTGAAGGCCAAGTCTGTCTTTACTTTTTGACCTTGGCCACCCTTGCAATGCTGCAGGAAAATATTGCAATACAAAAAGTAGATTTGTAATTGTTACATGAATAAAATTGTACATTTTACGAATTTTCTCTTCATGACAGGCTTTACTTCCACTGATAAAAGTAGCAGCTTCACAGTTGGATGGTAGCAGCCTGGCAGTAAAACGAGCTGCTGTTATTAATATATCATCCATATTGGGCTCCATTGCAGAAAATGAACAAGGTGGCCTCTATCCTTACAGAGCTAGTAAAGTGAGTACAGTGTGCATAAATTATATTAAATGTATACTTATGGAATAATTTAACCAATCACAGAAGAAAAAGTATAAAATGCATTTCATTCATTCTCTCTTAAACATTAAAACCAGTACAGTTATCTGTATCAAGTTGTATTGTTGTATGTAACACATTTTGAACACCAGTGCGTATGAGTTACAAGATCATTTGTACTATTTGTATGGCTGTAATTTAATTTTCCTTGCAAGTCCTTTCCTTTTCCTTCCAGGCTGCCTTGAATGCCATAACCAAGTCCCTGAGCCTTGATTTACAAAGCTCCAACATCCTGGTAACCAGTCTCCACCCTGGTTGGGTTCAGACTGATATGGGAGGCAAGTTGGCTCCACTAACTCCTACACAAAGTATATCAGGAATCATCACTACCCTCCACAACCTGACTGAGCAGCATCATGGAGGATTTTATCAATACGATGGACAAAAACTACCTTGGTAAATCACCACATCAATTCTTTGATTTCATTGTACATAGTTTTGTATAGTAAAGAATTGTTTCTACATGTGAGTGTATCATAATCCAACATGTGGGTGCATCATTAGCCAACATACAAACTCCAAGTAAAAATACCTTGTTCCTCTACTCTTGAGAGATGCCAGTCTTGGTGCCTCAGAAATTATTCTAGTGAGTGATGCTTTAAGGTACAGCACAGTATAACCTTTCTTGTCTCCTGTCCAGCTCTTTTAATACTATCATCCTACTTGGCTCTTACCTGTAATACTATCATCCTATTTAGCTCTTGTAATACTATCATCCTACTTAGCTCTTACCTGTAATACTATCATCCTATTTAGCTCTTGTAATACTATCATCCTACTTAGCTCTTACTTGTAATACTAGCATCCTATTTTGCTCTTACTTGTAATACTGTCATCCTACTTGGGTCTCATTTTTTTTTTCGTGGCCTCCAGCATCCCCCGATAGCCACACCTTCGCCACCATTTTATTACCTTAAAATTAAATATCCTTATATATAAGTAGCTACCCTAGCTGTGTTGAGTTAGTTGAGCCGCAGATCTATGTGGCATTCAGTGACTGTTGCCTCAAAGTCCATATCTGACACTGTTGTCGGCTTTGGGACCAATGCTCTTGTTCCCAAAGCAAAGCAATGCTGACCTAAGCAGAAAGAAGGACAGTCGACATCTCAACCAGGCTGTAACATAACTTCTGGACTGCTGCTTCTGTTCAGATAGCACCTCCACGAGTCTGGCGTAGAAGCATCTTGTATTTGGTCCCATCCCGCCAGAGGTTGTGAACACCAGAGGAGTGAAGCTGCCCCGATTGAAATTTTGAATTATCTCACCATATGCCCAAATCTTTTCGTTCTCGTTCGTCCTGTGTGCAACATCGAGAGCTAAGTTACAGTGACATGCGGCCATGAGATCAAAAATCCTTACGTTGAAGAAGGCTCGTTGTCCCCGTACCCAGAATCCTTGAGCACTGATGTCACACGGGCTTCATTGGATGTGTTTGAAGTCCTGTAACAGAGGTTCTCACCGTCCAATGGAAGGAGGGACGGTTCCACCATGACATCGTGGCAGATTTCCCACAGTAGATTTGCTGTTAGATCCCTTACTTCGTCACGCCTCATGCATACGAAGCCCCCTTTCTTGCACACCATGGCGTGGTTGACGTCATAAGATGAGCCACACACACATTGGGAGGGCAAACCTTCTACTGGCCTACCATACCTTAGAGCAGGGGTCACCAAACTTTTTTCACAGTGGGCCGGATAACTGAAAGAATGACGAGCGCGGGCCGCATAATCATTCTGTTCAATACTTGCAAGCCAGAACGAAAGCTCTGGTAACGTCAGAGCGTAGGCGGAGCTACCACGAGCCGGGGAAGGACTTGGGATCCGGCCCGCGGGCGGTAGTTTGGTGACCCCTGGCTTAGAGCAATGGCATCTGTGAATTCTTGTTTATTAAGGATGAAGCCCACCTCCTGCACTATAGCTACTTTTCTTTTCAAGTTATCTGGCAAGTGCTCTTACCTCTAATACTATCACCCTACTTAGCTCTTACCTCTAATACTATCATCCTATCTGGCTCTTACTTGTATCACTATCATCCTCATTAGCTCTTACTTGTAACAATATCATCCTATTTAGCTCTTACTTGTAATATACTGTCATCCTACTCAGCTCTTCCAGGTACTCGTCATTTAGCGATCAGCATGCATTCCTGAAAAACCGATTGCTAAGCGAAAAGAAATGAGAAGTAATATCCTAAAAAAGGGATAACGAAGAATAATATCCATGGAGATGGCATGTAATTGTGTTGCAGAGTCGCCGACCTGCCACACAGCAGCACTCATAACGGGTGAGGCTGAGCTGTCCGCTATGTTATTGTTCAACTCGTAATTTGGGGTAGATATACGTAATTTTCTTAATTTTCTTTTATCCTTCTACATGCACACACAATTGTTCATACAAAACGTGCAAACAAAATAAATAAGTAATTATCATAATGTATAAAACATGAAGGGAATAAACAGTTTTTACATGGCTGGTAGTTAGCCAGGAGTGAGATGATGCATGGAGGAGCTCTCGGTTATTCTCAGCCTTGTGTACTGTGAAATGATTACCAAATGCCAACGCAGCCCTTTTTCTTTATTTTATTTATTATTTTTATTTATTCCTCACATTTACTGGTAGAGTACAGTATACACATGAGACAGTCACCATCACCAAGCTTTTTTTTTTTTTTTTTACCACTCCATTGTTGTATACTCTAGTGTTCTCTCTTGCAATTTTGAATCACTGAAGGCCTTAAAAAGAGTCAAGTTGTTAAGTATAGTAATAACAGTATAATGTCAACATATACCAGCACTGTGTCTAGTAGGTCATATACTGAACTGTAAATGGTTTATGTACCTATACACTGTACTGTACTGTACAAGCTGGATCAATGTCATCTTGTACGAGGATTTTACTAAATATCTATCTAAGTAAGAATAACGACCTGAAAAAACCCATTTGTTTAAAAGTAAAGTTTTTTCCTACGTTGATGGTGTTGTTGTGTAAGGGAAGAAATAACAGAAAACCACTGCCAGCTTTTTGCGATTGTTTTTCCTCAGTACAATATCGTTTACAATAATCTGGTCGTACAATAATTCATAATAACCTTCACCTATACACATCCATTAATTACTAATCCAACAAAAATATTCTCCATATATTTACATGTTATAGTAGCAATAAAGAAAATTAATAATACTATACCTTACTAGAACTAAGCATATTGTAGCATTGTTGGACTAACCTTGCTCAAATCATCTTACTGTTTATCAGTTTGTTTACCTGCCTGCTGAACCAATGTAAACATGCAAGACGATTTTACTGAATGAAGTAACTACTGTATCTATTTTCCTTGTAGTTATAATTACAAAACAATAAATAGCACTGCTTGAACTTATGACAAAGTTGTGACAGTGATAATGTACTGAATATTATTTTATTCCACACCTGATGTTGCCTTGTAATACTTCTAGGTGTTAAATATCACGACCCTTTAGTATGGGTATGCCCAAAAAAATTGCACTACTGTAACAGCCCCAAGCATTTACATGAAAAGTTCAGAAAAGCAATAGCTAGTATAAAAATATATATACTGTACGTTGTTTATTCTATCTCAAAATATCACAGTAGTAAGCTTGTTCCTTACAAAATGTCCTTCCTAGTATTTTTCCTTATAAGTGGTCCTTCTAAAATAATAACATTCCTTTAACAACCATCACACTTGTAAGACTTTATACAAGAAACTGTATCCTATTAAATTATTATTAAGCTGCATATATTTATAACTCAGTAGCTTATAAATATCACTCGTATCTTTGATAGTGTTCAATAACTTTCCATCTATTTAATTTGATCAAATGGGCCGTGTCTTCAAATCCATTAAACAACTCCAATGTGTGTGTGTGTGTGAACTTTACATAGAGTACTGTGCTATACTCTCTTTTTGAGCCACATGTGGTAGTGCAGTGTACTAGCTTTAGTTGTCATGTTATTTGCATTTGGTGACACATTTCACTATAAAGGGTTGTGTTTGATATATTTCTTGGCTGTTTCATGGTTTAGAAAGTGGTACAGTAGTGTTGACTGTAGGAGTCCTTCTTGGTTCTTGCATTAGGTGTTTGATTTATGTTTAAGTCCTGTAACATATTCCTTTGTGAAATATCTTGCCTGATGTTATTTTGGGCTACTTTGTTCATTCCTTCTTTTCACACTGTAGAACCAACTACCATTAGGCTTAATTATTTCACTGCTTATATTGTGCGAAGCATGTTATGACAAAACCACCTGTTTGTAGGCTGCAACTGACATTCTCCTTTACTTTTATCAGACTTTGGGATTGTAGAGGTCCCTGGTTGTTGCTGGTCTTAAACATTTAGTTTTTGTTATGTTCACTAAGAGAGGAACCAGGTAATTACTTCTCTTTTATTTTACATCTTTGTATGACTACTATGGCATACCTGATGGTCCACATTGGTTTGTGGAGAACCTTGTTCATTCCTCATTTCAACTACCGTTTCCTGTTTTTTGATGTTATGTGACAACGTTGGGTTGTGGAGGAATACTTTTTTTTTATTGTAGCTGATTCTCATTTGCTTTGATCCTGTAGAACTTTAATTTTTTTTTCACTTATCTTTCATGTTTTATCCTTATTTTGTTTAGAACCTGGTGCATTGTGGTCTCTCCTTATTTTCTTTTGGTGTAAAAGAAATGATAGTCTTTGGAGCTTTATTTGTCTAATTGCAGGTTTTAGGTGTTTCTCCTGAATTTGAATCTTGTAAACACATTGCTTGTGGTGTGATTTGTCTCGAGACACTGTTCTCCGTTGCTTTCAATTCCTCCACTCACTCTGTGTTATAAAGGGCTTAGCTTATGTTTAGACCTGTTACAGGAAGTTGGGCATTTTTCAACATCATTTCAATATTTCTGTGGATGGTCCAATCTTCTTGGTTGTACCATTAGTAGTCTGTGTTTTTTTTAGTACAAGTACAGTACTGTGTTTACATTTTTATTATCATATTACATTTGCACTTTGCTGAGCTCTCGTGATATGTTCTTTATTTCTTTTCTGGAATATTTTAAAGCGTCAACTGGTGTTACCCCTCTGTTGAGAACAGTTCTTTGTTAGATCTGTTAGTTTTTAATTTCACTCTTTAAGTTTTCTTCTTGTGGCGACCCTTCTTTCAACACATAAGTTTTCTTCTTATCCGGTAAAATGTCCTCTTGTGTGTGTTCCTCGGAGTAACAATGAACATCTTTTAGCTTATATTTTGGCACCTCATCATGTTTGGTGTCCTTTGGCATATCCTCCTCCTTGACATCATTCAGGTGTGTATCGTGAGCTTCACAAGTGTTTTGGCTTGAAAAATCACCAATTCTCTGCAAAGACGTTGTAAAGTTTCCACAATATGAAATGTGCCGCGTTTCCAAGGTGTTCCCTCTGTGATCTAAGGATAAATGTATGCGACCTTTTATGACCATTTGCTTGTTCCTATCATCCACCTTTGCAATGCCAGACATTACTCCATCAGAAAAAGCATTTCTGTTTCTGTTACTGGTCAACTTATCAGCAAACTGTGAAGTACAAAATCCTTCAGCCTCATCAAGCATCCCTGTTAAAAAATTTTGAGGTCCTTTGACAGGATTGTGTATATACAGTGGTGCAGTACTCACTCTACTGTTGTCATCATCGCTGTCATAATCAACCCGAAGCTTTCGAGGAAAAACAACAGGTTCCTCCCAATTAATGTTCTTTGCTTTTTTCTTTTTCTTCCTAATGTCATAGTCGAAGGGAAATTCTGGGTGTTGCTCACACCTGCAAAAAACAAATTTAGAATATTATACGATTATCTATACTGTAGTCCTTTGCCAACTGCAGGGGTTAGGTTCCTGGAAAACCCTGTGGTTGGAAAATCCTCATATGGCAAGACTAAAGGCTTATGGGAAATAGGGGGATAGGTTCCACGGTCACCGATAACACCCATCAAAGCCTAAATCAGTTACCTGGTCCTTTGGAAAACAATACCTGCATTGTACATTTCATTAAATTTGAGTCAAATATATATAAAAGAGTATAATTAAATTAAACAATATAAGAGGTATTTGACTTCATTGAGGACAATGGTGGATAAGGATGACACTAGCCCTTATCGTAGCTTCACTTTTCTTAATTGTATGAATCAAGAATTCGTTTACCGGGTACCTCCATGGTGGGTAGCACTGACTAGTCTATCACGCAACTACAACTTTTTTTTCTAGTAATTATGTTACTTGTCGTCTTCACTTTCTTCTCACATTTATCACTAACATTCAATACACACTTAGGGTCATAGTTAAAAGCCAAAATCAATGTTATTACAGTAGAAAATACATATTAAATATCCGGTGTACAGAGCAGTAAAATACATCCGCACGGTACGAGATGACAACACAGTGTGGCGCAAGCAAAGGCAAAGGCTGGATGCTGCACGGATGAATACATTGGAACACTTAGGGAAAATGACTCTGCACTGAACTGTGGATACTCGAAATTCAATGCCGCGGTTGGTGAAATGGTGCATATATAGAGTAAGAACCGTGGATACCAGAAATATGCGAATGGAAAATCTGCGGTTGACAAGGGACTACTGTATTGATGAAGAAATGAGTGTACTATAAACTCTTGTCATACAGAAAAACAACTATTAGTTACTGAAACATAGCAATTACAGAATAATCATTGAAAACAGGTATTAATAATGTTGATAAAATCACTTTTTACATCAAGCTCACTGCTCTTTCTGGGGTGACAAATATTCTTAGGAAGCTCTTACAGTGTGATCACTCCAGTCTGTGAGTCGTGAATGTAATGGATGACCACATACAAACACAAACATGCCAAAGAATCAACAACTTCAAGCCTTCACTTCCCAAAGTGACAGACAAAAGAACTGTGGTATTAAATATATAATACAAGATGGATTTCAGAACATATAGATGGCCTGCTACACATACCCTTTATAGGTGACGAAGTTCTTGAGCCTGGAGTTGCCCTTCAGGTCCAGGTCTTGCAGACTTCGTATGCTCGTTTCATGGAGGTAAAAGTATTTAAGATCCTGTTAAAACAATGATGGATCACTACATTAAAGACAACTCTTCAATTCTATCAGTTCATAAAATCAAGATTTAAATGTGCATTTGACTCTTTGGCATAATACTGTGTAATTCAGAACATAATTATCAATGTAGCTGAAAAATAGAACTATGATTCATCCTACAATTAATAACTTACACTTGTTTATTTTGGAAAGTTTATAGATAAAGAGAGATATCTTGTGGTCTGTAGATAACCATGACAGTGATAACATTTATACTATGTAAAAGGGAGCAATCATTTTTGACACTGTAAATGAACAGTACAGCATCAATACGTATTGATATATATATATAACATAACCTATTATCCACCTGTCTACATTTATACTATGTTAAAGGGAGCAATCATTGGAGAAACTGTAAATGAACAGTACGCATCAATACGTATTGATATATATATAACATAACCTATTATCCACCTGTCTACATTTGTACTATGCTCGTCAAGATGACTTTATAATGTGGGAGTGTATCTGAGAGTAGCAGGTACTGTCATTTGGCATCACACCATGACTCACCAGACTACTGTATACCTCACTGCTGTCATGTAAATTACACAAGTGTTTCAACACCAAAAAATTTACATTTAGAAAACCTAATTCAGTTCTTATACAATGGAGGGTTTGCATGTAAAGAAATGGAGTGAAAAAAAAATACAAAACTACGTCTGGGTGCGAAGCCAGAAAGAGGAGGTAGTGTTAACTGCACAAGTCCAGAAAACTGCGAGGGTAAACTTTTTCCGAGTCAGAATTGTGAACTCTTGGAACAATTTACCAGTGTTGTGACGGCACCAAGTGTGAGTTGTTTCAAGACCAGGCTTGATCAACACTGCGGCAGGTACACATACATTCAGGAGCCGGTGTATGCCCAGTACTTGTCAACAGTGTGTAACAGAGATGTGACTGACTGCCCAAACGACTAATGAAACGTGGCGAAGAGGATAAAAGTAGAAAACAAAAATTAAACAATGATAGTGTAAAGCAATAAACTTGTAACTCACTTATCATTTATGAATAAATTAAATATATATACCATATACAGCTCCTCCCCGACTTACGACCTACTCGACTTACGTCCACCCGCACTTACGACCTGCCTCAGTTGTACCAAAATTTGGTCAAATTACGTATTTTCGAGTCCCAAAGTCAGTACACAGACAAAATTTTCATCTGTAATTCACTATAAAATGGCTGGCAAGTTTAAAAGTGAGTGTTTTGTGGTGCCGCGAAGAAAAAGGGACCCCCATTTTAGATTTTCTATGTAGTATTATTTAAGCATTTCCGATTTACAACCTGGATGTCGGTCCCTAACCCCGTCGTAAGTCGGGGAACAGCTCACACTCGGTGCCGTCACAACACTTTCTGGTAGATTGTTCCATGAGTTCACAACTCTCACTCCGAAAAAGTTTGCTCTCACAGTTTCCTGGACCTTTTTTTTTTTTTTTTTTCTACGGGAATTAGCCCACCCGGGCACAGGTCAAACGACCCACAACGGAGCCTGAGGACAGGTTAAACACCCAGTGCTGTAATTGCCAAGAGTATCAATGTCTCATTACTTCTTCACAAAAGTTCCAAAGAAAACAAGATATACTTACTGTGTAGATAATTTCCTGCATCTTTGTGTTGAAACCCCTGAGTAAACAAATGATCTTCATCCGCAAGACAAACCCGACTATGATGGACAGCGGATTCATCCTGCATTTCTTGGCAAGATGCAACACTACTTTATTTTCCCACAATAATGGGTATTTCTTCCTGATGGGGGGAAGAAAGGGCGAGAAAAAAATGCATCATGAAGAATATCCATAGGTTATTTATTTATTTGTTTGTTTATTTATTTTTATCATATTCGCCACTGATAAGCTTACTAGCCGTTTAGGTGGTTTATCCAGTGTTAGTACAGGAGGAAACCGGGGGCCGGGAAACTGTGGTGTTTGGTAGTGAGGGTCACACTGGATACCACCCTTCTCACATGTGTACGGGCCGAGGCTCGAACCCTTGACATGTTAGTGAGAGTTATACGCGTTACCGCTGTACAAGTTGAACTGTACTAAAATGCTGGTGGAAGATAATGTGTTGATCTGTGTAGCAGCTCAAGGTGTTGTACACAAAGTTAAAGGGAGAGTATTGACAACAGTTTGCCCTCAAAATGTACTACGTATTACTCACTTGGTAATAAAGTTTTGGTTGCCCAGGACGTCTGTAGCTATGGGAGTAATAAACATTTCCCGGAGTCTCCTCCGCTCTTCTCTACGCATATTGTAAACATTTATGTCCATCTGGACAAAGGTCGGGGGGTGGCGAGCATCTATCAACAAAGTAAAAATGATTTTTGTAATGTACTGCATACAGCAATACTGTATAGTATGCACTAATACACACACACATACACAAACACATGCGTGCACACACACACACACACACACACACACACACACACACACACACACACACACACACACACACACACACACACACACACACACACACACACACACCAAGTCACCTTATAAATATTATATGTACACATTAGTCAGTTAGTCTGGATTGGTATGCACTAAGGATGAAAAGCACCAAGAATATTGTCACATGACGAAAATGTAAGAAAAACAAACAAACTTACAGCTGACGATTCTCTCCACCTGTTTTATATTGAAGTTGCAGAGGCCAATGAATCTGGTACGGCCGGCTTCCAACTGTGAACATATGTTTATTTTAGTATGAATACATGCCGCAACATGTGGGCAGCTATATGAGTTTTACGATAACCAATGCCACCACTGCTGGGACACAGGCAAACATAGTACAGTAGAGTAATAAGCATATGAATAAAACATATGCATGAATATGAAGTTTGAGAAAATGAGCTATTTCCTTGTGTGCAGGCAATTCCTTTTATACAAACTAAGAATATGTAGTAATAATTCAGGTGTGTCAGAGGTGTCTGAAGCAAAAACGTCCTGGAAAATCCCTATCACCACCAACTCCAGCTACCATAACTCACACTCTCCCATCAAGGGTATCTATCATGACCTACTGTCACCCACCTAGTTCATCTATCATGACTCACCGTCACCCACCTAGTTCAACTACCATGACTCGCAGTCACCCACCTAGTTCAACTACCATGACTCACCGTCACCCACCTATTTCAACTACCATGACTCACCGTCACCCACCTAGTTCAACTACCATGACTCACCGTCACCCACCTAGTTCAACTACCATGACTCACCGTCACCCACCTAGCCATTATGTGCCCAGTCACCCACCTAGTTCAACTACCATGACTCACCGTCACCCACCTATTTCAACTACCATGACTCGCCGTCACCCACCTAGTTCAACTACCATGACTCACCGTCACCCACCGTTCAACTAGACTCACCGTCACCACCTAGTTCAACTACCATGACTCACCGTCACCCACCTAGTTCAACTACCATGACCCAGTCACCCACCTAGTTCAACTACCATGACTCGCCGTCACCCACCTAGTTCAACTACCATGACTCACCGTCACCCACCTAGTTCATCTATCATGACTCATCATCAGTTGATGCTCACCTGTTCCTCCATGCCTTCCCACAAGCTTCTCAGGTCAGTGGTTAAGTCTAGGACACTGTTTCCATGTTCGTCCCTCGGCTGCACGTCTTTATCAGAGCTCCCTGTGTTGTTATATGAGAAATACCCTACTTGATGATTCTACTAATTAACTTGAAGATATACAGTATAATCAAAAAAATTTTTTATGGGGATTAGCCCACCCGGGCACAGGTCACTGACCCACATCGGGGCCTGGGGGGCAAAAATGTAATAATAATAATAATAATAATAATAATAATAATAATAATAATAATAATAATAATAATAATAATAATAATAATAAAAAATAAAATAAAAATAAAAATAATAAAAATAAGAATAAGAAGAATAAAATAAAAATAAAATAAAATAATAATAATAATAATAAAAATAATAATAATAAAAATAAAAATAAAAATAAAAATAATAATAATAATAATAATAATAATAATAATAATAATAATAATAATAATAATAATAATAATAATAATAATAATAATAATAATAATAATAATAATAATAATAATAATAATAATAATAATAATAATAATAATAATAATAATAAATAATAATAATAATAATAATAATAATAATAATAATAAATAATAAATAATAATAATAATAATAATAATAATAATAATAATAATAATAATAATAATAATAATAAATAATAAATAATAATAATAAATAATAAATAATAATAATAATAATAATAATAAATAATAATAATAATAATAATAATAATAATAATAAATAATAATAAATAATAATAATAAATAATAATAATAATAAATAATAATAATAATAATAAATAATAATAATAATAAATAATAATAATAATAAATAATAATAAATAATAAATAATAATAAATAATAAATAATAATAATAATAAATAATAATAATAATAAATAATAATAATAATAAATAATAATAATAATAAATAATAATAATAATAAATAATAATAATAATAATAATAATAATAATAATAATAATAATAATAATAAAGAACCATAAAGAAATAAAATAAAATAAATCAAGAGTGAGAAACAATATATACGTGTTGTGTTGTCAATGTTAAGAGAAACAATTGAGACCCTGCAATTGTGTGTAAATGAGGCAGAAAGTCAGATCAGCAACCTGGGACTTGGTCACAAATTTCGTGATGCCTTTGGCAGCAGGGTCTACCATTAAACAACAAATTATGCATTCCAATATCTTCCCAGGCGGTAGTACCTCCCTTTTTGGTAGCTGCCTACTACCTACAGACCATTTAATGTAACAGCTATTTAGCAATACAGTACCATGGAAAAATGAGCTTGTAGTGGATACTCTCCCCTACAACTGCTGATTGGTTACTTGCCGCCCGCTTACCAGCCAACCAGTGGCGAGTTCCACAAATCAGTCCTCGAGTTCGAACTGCGCGGTGATTGGTCAGTTGCCGCCATCATCTTCGCCAATCAGCAGCATTTTTCATCTTTGCATTTCGATTCTTGATCCGGCAGAATTATATAAATACCCCATGCCTCGCCGTGAAGGTCGGACCAGATTCTTTCTACTCCTACTGTATTTCAGTTTCACCACTTTTATTCAATCCTTAATAATCTTCTTTAATCAAAATAACTACCACACTTGGAGAAATAGCATTAGCCACAGCATATTTACCGCCAAGAAGGAACTACCTGCCGGCCCCAGACTTGATAAAACTATTGAACTACAACTGCCCAACATATATAATAGGAGATCTGAACCCAAGACATCCAATATTCGGTCACGGAAACAGGAACAGAGTGGGCACTGCACTGCATACCATAATGAACACAGGGAAGCTGATCCACCTAGGACCACACTTCACCACATTCATTGGCAATAACAAAACAACAACTCCAGACAAAGTCTTCACCAATAACAAGGCATTCCTGAATTACCATATAAAACAAGGACCACTAACTACCAGCGACCACACTCCAATGATAATAAAACTATCCACAAGCCCAATCCAAGTACCAACAACCCCACATTTCCAAATGCAAAAAGCAGACTGGGAAGGCTACAGGAAGCAACTAGAACAAGTTAAGATCCCAGATCTCCAAGGCAAAATACTAGAAGATATAGACAACGAAACAGATACCCTTATACTTAACATCAAAAAGGCAATAGAGAACAACATACCAATCACAACATATCGAACGCTACCACACATCAGGACATCCCATGAATTGAGAATGCTCCAAGTACAATACAATAACATAATGATGTACTGTACATACAAAACTATCCACCAACAACAGAGCTTATTAGAAACTTAAGGCAAATACAACAAAAGTTAAGAGATGAAAGCCTGATAGCACACCAACAGATATGGAACGAACTAATAAACAACCTGTGTAATGATCGTGATGACGGCTAACCTAAAAACCTTCAGGATTCATATTACGCTCAAACGTCCACAAAACCTTCTGAGTCCCCCAGTGGAAACGTCCCCCGTTTTCTCTGTTTCCTTGATGACGTCATCGATAGGCCGTCTTTGTCTAAAGGGAACTTTGAATATAATCCGCGGATTTCGTAGCAAGACGCTGTATGTTGGGATCTGTTGCCATCCAACCCTTTGTAATCAATTTAAATTTTGCTTTTGATAGCTCAGTCAGAGCATTGTTAGTGAAGATAATAATAGGGAATGAAACTGAGTTCATAGTCTCAGTTTCAACGTCAGAGTGTACAGTAAAGTAATTCATCGTAATAGAAGTAGGTGGACTCCCTGACCTATTTTGAGTGAGGGTGCCGCGGGCATTTCAACCGTTAGTAAGTGCTCGCCCCTTCACCCATACAGGTCCCTAATGCAGCCTAGGCCGTGTCTGTAGCGTGGATGTTGTATCCACTATGTCTGGGGAGATGTCCGAGGTCTGACCCGACTGTCAGACATTTCAGACTGCCTATGGCCCCCATAGCTGGCCAGTCTGACCCTAACGCTCGGCCCACGAGGTGACCCCGGATCACCAAGCCACACACCACTACCAGCCCCCATCATTGGTGGATGAGTGTCTAACTCAGTAGAGCTATTTGTGTGGTGGGGTTATTCCACTGGGATCTTCAGAGTTCGTTGGAAAGTACCCATGGTGGCGGGACCCCATGGCTGTTGCTTGAGTATCACTCCTGACGACTGAGTGTTGTAGTGGCAGTTGCCCCTGGTCTTAATGGTGCTAAGTTACTGTAAGAGTTTGTGTTATTGAGTATGTCCACCCAGTAGTGGTGTGAGTGTTATTGAGTATGTCCACCCAGTAGTGGTGTGAGTATGTTGAGCCTGAGGGCATAGTACCAGGTTTCGTCTGTTGGTACATATATTCTTTCTCCTACCTCCATTTTAATGTTTAAATAAATATTGTATTTGTATATTGTGTCTATTATTTACCTTCAGTATCTTCCGTTATTTCTTCCCTATTACTTGATACTATCATTACATATACCCACGAGCCTCCTCTCGTCACGCTACCAATGGTTATAAGTATTAGAATAAAGTAAAATTGTTATAAGAGGCAGGCCCTTATAAAATGGTGGCAGCACAGGTCCTTATACCTGGATACCACAAGAAATGACAAGAACTTCTGGCAGAACGTAAACAAAATTCTAGGAAACGACAAACCCCAACAAAAGTACATAAAAGACCAAAACGGGAAAAACTCTTTGAAGAAAGAGATAGAATCCACATACAGGAGAGAATGGAAAAAACTATTTCAAATATCAGAAGAAGAAAATGAGGAATTCGATGAGGAACACGAAAATCACATCTGCAGAGAAATGGCTGAAATGATATATATGATAACCCCATACCATGTGGTGGACAAAACCAGGCTCAACTCGATAGAACCAATTACAGAAGGAGAACTGCTACACTACATCAGACACTAAAGAAAAAGCACCAGGATTTACAAAAATCACAAGAAACATGATCCGAAACCTACCCAACAACTGCACACAAGGCATCCTCGAAATATTAAACTCAGCTTTGGCAAGTGGATACTTCATTGATGCATTCAAAAACGCAAAACTCATATTCATACCGAAATCAGCCAAAGACCACACTCAAGTAATTAACTACAGACCGATTTCCCTACTCGAAGTTATAGGAAAACTATTTGAAAAGGCAATAAACAAGAGAATCAGAAAACACAGAAGCGAAAACGGACTACTAAACCCCAGACAACATGGATTCACTGAAAAAAAGGGAACACATACTGCACTAGCCATAATCACGGAAACGTTAGCCAACAAGAAAGCAGAAAGAAACCAAGTCAACATTGTATTAAGAGACGTTAAGAAAGCGTTCGATAAAGTATGGCACCTAGGATTAAAATTTAAACTGCTCCAATTAAATCTTCCAGACCCACTAGAAGATATCGTCTGTGACTCCTAGATGATCGCACGGCACAAATACAAATTGGCAGCTATATAGGACCAACCATAGAACTGAAAAGTGGAGTACCCCAAGGCAGTGTCCTTTCACCCACGCTGTACAATATCTACACAGCAGACCTACCAGAACCAGCTCCCTACAGTGAATACATAAGTTTTGCAGACGATATCACACAAATCATCACATACCCCGGCAAATCAACAGCAATAATGGCACAACATACTGCCAATGCAATAGAGAACATCAACCAGTACGAAAAAAAGTGGAAGATACAAACGAACACCAACAAGTTCAAAATAATACCAATCGCTAAAAGGAAAAAAGATCCCATTATAGTAAACAACAAAGTGATTCCATATGCCATGGAAGGCACTGTCCTAGGGCTGAAGATAACAACAAAAGGCTACAAAACATCACCGAAAAACTTGCAAAAACCAAATATGGTAATTAAATTAAAACGCTCCAGAAGCTTGTCAGCAAAAAACAGGTTAAAGTTATATAGAGCCTTTGTCCAATCCCGACTAGTATATCCACCAATTCCCCTACATGCAATAAAACAAACAAACAAAGAAACTGCAGACAATTCAAAACTTAGCCCAAAGGGATGTATACAACATCAGATATCCTGACATAGTCATCAACCGTCAACTACACCAACGAGCGCAAATAGAAC